GTTTTAAACGTTTACACACATTATTGAACCCTTTTCAAAATAGAAACATTAACAACTCTTTTCTATGGCACCCACTCCCACAGTCAAGCAGTCATCGGTAGTTAAAAATAGTATCAACATTAAGAATCTAATAAATATTAATATTTTGTTTGATATTTGTTTTTATAATATGCTTAACTTTTTTCAAATTATCGGTATTTCGTCATTCCACTCCCATAAATGGTTTGTTTTGTTTTACTTTTTTTCCTCTTCTCACGTACTTTACACCCTATGAAAGTTTATTTGTTGTTGTTTCGTTTTTTATGCTCTTATTTTCTTTCATTGTTTGTAAACAAAAATGTGAACTTAATCTTTTAAATTCTAACATTTTCATTTATCCTACACGTTTACAATAAGGTGATGCTTTTATTAGAAATTTTGGATAGGAATTTGAACTAGTAACTTCATAAATCCTTTTTTAGGGGGACTTCATGATCAGATTATATGTACATATAGGAAATATAGTAAAAATATATAGATTTTTTTTTGTGTTTAAAATTCTTGCATTTTAAGATTGTAAAAATTAATGCTATTCATTAAGCCTGGGGTTCTGAATTTCGGTGGCAAGTAGAGCTCCGTAGTAAAAACGATTAGGTCTTTTCCCACCAGGACCCAATCCAGTTCCACTTGTTTTGTATTGGTTATAGATTTCGGAGTAATGGAGGCAAGTTTACAATACATTTTCAAACATTGGGTTAGTTCCCCAACTTTCTTAAAAAATTCAGTTTCAGAGTTCGAAATTTAAAGAAGAATAATAATACCACCCTAATACACATACTTATGAATGTAGTGTTATTATAATGTTATGCCCCTAAATGGCACTACATTGTAGAACAACAATAACAATATTTAGTGTAAAAATATAACTGGAAAAGTTGTAAGAAAAACAACTTTCCTACTACGTGATTATGTTACATGTTATTACCGTGAGTCTTTTTATGAGCGTGAGTGTGATCTGGTGATTTTTTATAATCGATAGAACAATTTCATTTTCATAAAGTTGCATTCTTTACGATCAGTATGTAAAAAGATGTTTTCTTAAGTACATAGATAGATAGATAGATAGATAGATAGATAGATAGATAGATAGATAGATAGATAGATAGATAGATAGATAGATAGATAGATAGATAGATAGATAGATAGATAGATAGATAGATAGATAGATAGATAGATAGATAGATAGATAGATAGAGATAGATAGATAGATAGATAGATAGATAGATAGATAGATAGATAGATAGATAGATAGATAGATAGATAGATAGATAGATAGATAGATAGATAGATAGATAGATAGATAGATAGATAGATAGATAGATAGATATAGTTAGATAGATAGATAGATAGATAGATAGATAGATAGATAGATAGATAGATAGATAGATAGATAGAGAGATAGATAGATAGATAGATAGATGATAGATGATAGATAGATAGATAGATAGATAGATAGATAGATAGATAGATAGATAGATAGATAGATAGATAGATAGATAGATAGATAGATAGATAGATAGATAGATAGATAGATAGATAGATAGATAGATAGATAGATAGATAGATAGATAGAGATAGATAGATAGATAGATAGATAGATAGATAGATAGATAGATAGATAGATAGATAGATAGATAGATAGATAGATAGATAGCTCGATAGATAGATAGATAGATAGATAGAAAGTGATTTTCACATTCCTCTCTTTATGCTCAACATTTGTCTGGATCCGTTTGTCAATGTTTGTGTCTGTGTGTTTACTAAGAATACGTCGATGGAATACAATTTAAGGCAGTACGATGTCTTACCAAGATACTCGAGGCAAGACACCGATACATCAGCGTATGTATATGCATAGCGGGTATATAGTTGTTACTCTTAACCAAATGGCGAAAACCACATAACCCCAGAATAATAGCCAACCATAAACTGTTGTAATAAAGACATTATTTGCCAACTCTGAGTTTAAAATGTAAGGAACAACACTTTCTTAATGAAATTCTTTCTTCACATGCAATCTCAGGCAAACAAACAACGATGATGAATCATTTGTTTCTGATAGTAATTTATTAATGGATTTGCCAGTTACAATGTTTAGCATGAATCAGACAGCTCCTTCATTTAGATAGAAAAGCATAAATAACTCCTTTATATTATAAGTAAAACTCCAGAAAGGTATTAAAGACTTAATGAACTTTACTTAATTACTAAAAAAAACTTAGCTTAGCAAACTTATAGCCCAACTCGCTTGGATGCAATTGTACAACTATGAATTTTAATTAGTTAATTATTTATACACGATTCATGAATAATACTGTCGTATTTAATCCAACGCTTTGATAGAAGTTATTTAATATCGGCTTCTATTGATTGTGGCAAATAAATTTAAATGATATAATTTTTTTTTGCGTGCCTACAATTCACAATTGTTTTTATTCCCTCTACTGTTTGGAATTATTTAAGAGAACTTAAAGGAAATATAAATATTTTTAAATGGAATTCGTTATAAAATCTTGGTGTTAATTAAAAAAGGAAATAAATCTGTATAAATAAATATTCCTGATGAAAATTTGACGTTGATTTGTTAAATGATTTTGTTATTCTTTATAATAGCTTTTTTATCCAAATGAAATGATGAAGAAAATAATTGTAATCATTCGGGATCGTTAAATTCAATACCAAACACTTCTGTTCCAATCTAATGATTCTTATGAATTTAATTCGTATGAAATGAGTAATTCGTAGTGGCGTCTTATATGATGTTGTTGTTTTACTGTCTGACTGTCAGATCCTGCATTTGTTTGTCTACATTGCTAACCACTAGTCGCTTATTTTCAAAATTTATTTTTATGCTTTACGAATGAATAACTATAGATTAGGGGAGGTCTTTCTAAATGGTTTTAAAATTTTCATATCGGGAATTTCAGGTTAAAAAAATTTCGAAATGTAAAGAGTAAGATATATCGTAGAAGAAGAAAGTTAAGCCGTTATTAAAAAGTCGAAGATGTCTTCGCGCTACTTAAACGCCTGAAATAAGGTCGATATTTTTCAATTCAGAGTTTGATTTAGCGCAGCTCAAACCTTTCGAAAAGTATTCTTTAGTTCTTTAATTTCTGATAATTTTAGTTAAAACTTAGGTTATATCTAAAGGAAAACGTATTTCACACCAAATCTGAATAAGTATCTCTAGGCCGCTACCGACAGTGTGCTCTGTGTGTCCTATCTCTTCCTTTATAATGCTCTGCTCCGAAACTCCGTTTCGTTTACGTAGTATCTTTTCAATTTTTCAATCACTGTTCCTGAGGGATGTTATATTTGGAATTATATCGCTTCCAAGATATTTGTATCTAATTTCAATGAAAGCCTAGTTATAAGAAAGAAAGTCGAAACCTGTTCGTCCAATATTGTATAGTTGTGCCCGTAATATTGTGCATCCACTCAAAATACATACCATAATACTAACCTTGGACTTGCTCATTCTGAAAAGCCTTCTCGTTCTCTTTTCTTGATATTTTGTGGTACTACCCACCGTTTCGTTATTTCAAGTGGCCGTATAGGATGCTCTGGTATGCAGCCCTTGTTGCATTTGATTTTCCACTCGTCTGTTTAACATCCTCTAACTATCTTCCCTTTATAGCAAGTACATACATTCGCCTTTTCGTTATCGAATATTCCCGAGTGGCCTGGAGAGTTTAACTCTAAGTAGAGACTTTGGTTTAGGCTCTCTTATAGCCCAATATGATCTTAGATGTAACTTTGTCAACTAATATTGAATTAATTACTTCATTTGGCCTATAATTATTCCAATCCAGTTTCCATAATCCGTTATTGCACTAATCCGATTACACATTCCCTTATTTTTGTGGTCTAATTGTATATCCTTAGAAGTATTATTTTCCCTTACTTTGGTTAGGGCTCCCTTACATATTCCCAGAGTAAATGGGACAAAATTCGATCCTGTGATGTAGCGCGAAATACCTTTTTCCTGATAGTCATATCTCACAGCTTATCCATATTATTCCTTAGCCTATAGTTGAACACCCGGTTAAGGATTGGATAAGAGTATCAGCGTGCTCGTTATTCTGTCAGGGATTAGTACCTTAAAGATAACGACAAATTATGTATCTGGTATGTGATCGGGCCTAGCCGTTGTTTGTGTATAGCCTTCCAATGTGTACAGTATACATAGAAGACATGATCCATGAGCAATTGGACAATTCGTTAAAGATATGAAGGCTTATACTTTATATTTGTTTCAACTGGGGAAGTATCCAGTAGCATTTCCAGAGCCTTGGTTGACGTAGAGCTAATGGCCCTACTTGCTGGTTTTATAATACACTTTTTGTGCAAAGAAATTCATCAGATTATAGAAGCATCTTGCCTTTTTAAAGCCCGTGAGTTTTGGTTGAACTAAGGACTTATAAATATAGTCTGGAATATGAATGAATACTTATTTTGCTAATATATAGTATACTAAACAGTATTTTCGAAATATCAGGTTTCCCTTTTTGCTCCCTTCTAGCCTATTGGCGCTACCCAGATAAGATAATCGAAATTCAATATATATTTCCAATTTCCAACACAGGGTAATACTTTAGCTGCATTTGATTAAAAGCTCAGTAAATTTTTCGTTCATTTCCAGTTAGTATATTTTGATGCCACCCTAATGCTCATATGAATACAGTATTCATTTACTTTGTTTATATATTTAGTTGTTGTTCATTTCATAATAAAAAATATTGTTGATTCATCATCAATTTATTGCAATGACTCGTTGTGGGAACGAAATAATGTACTTAGTACTTAGACTTTAGGCAGACAGTATAACGTACTATATTTAGGTACTTATTTATAAATTGTTAAAGAAAGAGCACAACACAATTATAAGATTGTCAAACAAGTTTCCATACGATATACATATAAAGAGAAATATTTAAACAATATTTATGAAAAATATAACAAATATTTAAGACATTCTACTCTTCATTTTCTTTATTAATAAAAAACAATAAATAAATTAAAAACTAATACATAAAAAAAAGCAAAAAGGTGTTCATTGAGCCATGAAATTGTGTAAACTGGGTTCAATACTTTATTATTCTCGCCTGTATTAATAAATATTTAAATAGAACAATAATAATTTATAGCTGGTAAAAAAATTTAAACAATAACCTTATAAAAAAACTTATAACTAATAAACAAACAATTAAAAAAGTGAGAGAAAAAAACAATAAATTGCATTTGAAATAATTATTGGAAAATAAAATCAATTGATGAAATCAATCTATTAATAAAAATGTTGTATTCAAAATAAAAATTTCAAAAACAACAATACTTGAGCTATAAAAATCAAATAACATTAAAGAAAATAACAAAACAACAATAAAAAATGCTTAAATATATACAAAAATAAATTTGTTTATTCTAACAAAAACAGCTGACATAATTTTTGTATTGAAGAAAATAAAAACAAAATTTTTAAATGTGTTTAAATTATTAAAATTGTATGACAAATAAACAAAAAACAAACAAATTTAAATAATTGTCGTGCTGCTGCAACAATAACAACAATATCTTCAACCTTTAAACCAACAACAACAACAACCATTTATCATAATTTTTAATAAATTTCGTTTTTTTTTTTTTTTTGGTATTTTTTAGCAAAATTATTTATTTTTTAATTGGAAGCAAAAGAAAAACTACAGAAAATACACACAACTATATTTTATTTTTAAATTAAGAAATTTTTATTTGGAAAAATGCCAGTGTTTCATACAAAAACAATTGAAAGCATTTTAGATCCTGTAGCTCAACAGGTAAGTTTTTTTTCTTGTTTTAGTTTTCATTCATTATTTGTTTTCTTTTTTTAATGGCGGTGGTATATTTATAAATAAATATGTATTATTTTGTTTAAATTAATGAATATTAATAAAGCATTAGATCAACCCAATACCTGTAGTTTTGGGTAATAATCTAGAAATTATTTTCACAAACAACTAGAATCTAGTTGTAGAATGGATGCACAAAAAAACATTTCAGATTATTTAAAGATGTCGTATTACTTTTTGAACCCTTTCTTATGAACATTTTAGTTATTTTGCAGTATTTCCAAAAAATCTGTTAAATTGTTTCTTAGACACAGAGAATCGGCTGAGTTGAGACTAAAAGGGCAAAAGGCCCTTGATAGGACTTTTCAGTTCAAAATACCAATGTAGGAAGACAGAGCTGCTAATACCAATCGATTCTTTCAGGGAAGATAGGATTTACACATTAAGGGAAAATCAATAGTCTCCAACTGACCATATATAAACTGGTCTATAGCCAAGACTATAGAATGGTCCATAGCCAAGTCTATGGTATGTTCTATGGCAAAGACTACCATAGCTATAGACTATAGTCTAGTCTATAGTCAAGTCAATAGTTTAGTATATAGTCAATACTATAGTTTAGTTTATAGTCAAGACAATAGTTTAATCTATAGTCAAGACTATAGTCTAGTCTATAGTCAAGACTATAGTCTAGTCTATAGTCAAGACTATAGTCTAGTCTATAGTCAAGACTATAGTCTAGTCTATAGTCAAGACTATAGTCTAGTCTATAGTCAAGACTATAAAATAGATTATAGTCTAGTCTATAGTCAAGTCAATAATCAAGACTATAGTCTAGTATATAGTCAAGTCAATAGTCAAGTCTATAGTCAAGACTATACTCAAGACTACTGTCAAGACAAGTTTATAATTAGTCTAGTATATAGTCAAGTCATTAGTCTAGTTTATAGTCAAGACTATAGTTTAGTCTAGTCTATAGTCAAGACTATAGTCTAGTCTATAGTCAAGACTATAGTCTAGTCTATAGTCAAGACTATAGTCTAGTCTATAGTCAAGACTATAGTCTAGTCTATAGTCAAGACTATAGTCTAGTCTATAGTCAAGACTATAGTCTAGTCTATAGTAAAGACTATAAAATAGACTATAGTCTAGTCTATAGACAAGTCTATAATCAAGACTATAGTCTAGTATACAGTCAAGTCAATAGCCTAGTCTATAGTCAAGACTATAGTCTGCTCTATAGTCAAAACTATAGTCTAGTCTATAGTTTATATAGTCAAGTCATTAGTCTAGTTTATAGTCAAGACTATAGCCTATGTCAAAACTATAGTCTTCATTATAGTCAAGACTCTAGTCTAGCCTATAGGCAAGATCATATAGTCAAAACTATAGTCTTGACTATAGGCTATAGTCTGTACTATAGACTAATCTATAGTCTTGACTATTAGTAGACTAATCTATAGTCTGGACTATAGACTAACCTATAGTCTATAGTCAAGACTATTAGTCAATAATAAAATAAATAATAAAGACTATAGTCTTTATAGTCAAGAATATAGTTTAGTCTCTAGTCAAGACCATAGTCTAGTCTATAGTCAATAATATAGTAAGACTATAGGTTAGTCTGTAGTCAAAACTATAGTATAATCTATAGTCAAGAATATAGTCTAGTCTATAGTGAAGACTATAGTCTAGTCTCCAGTACTTAATGTTGTCTTCATATATACTGCATAGTAAAAACAATAGTCAATATTTCATTTTAGTTTACAAATCTGTGCAAAACTTTTTCAACAACCCACCTAACAGTGTAAACAGACACTTCACATAAAAATGATAAATATGCTCTTTATTTTAAGTAATCTACGACAATTAAATTGTGTAATTAAATTTTGACATACAGTGGCAATTTAGTATAATTGTTCGTTGTTTTTTTTTTTTTTAACTTTTACCGCTTACATGCAACATGTCATATGATAAATGGTGTTTAAATTAAAATTGAAATAATGAGGAAAACATAATTCAAACTAAAAAAATATTTCTTTGAGGAATTTAAAAAAAGAAATTGTAAAGTTAGATACTTTTTTTATAAGGTGATTAAAAAATAGATTTGCTTGACTTGTATTTATGTTAAAAGTGTCATGTGTAAAAATACTATATGAGATGTTTTTAAATGTTTTTAAAAAAGAACTTACTCTTTTCACTATCTGCACTCGGATACAAATGTATATAGGAAACATCGGCTATATATCCATTTTAAGTTTAGAAAAAATTAAAAACAAAAAATTTATAAACAAATATTACACTTTTGCATTTAATTTCTATAACCGTAAACGTAAAACTCCTACATAAATTTTTTTTATTTTTAAAAACTTTTAACTACAAAATAAATTATCAAAGTAAATAATACAAATATGATTAGCATAACTTTGAGGAAAAAATTCTCTAATAGTTAATGAATGAACCATAACGTCATAAAGAGAGAGAGACGCGCAAAAGCGTAGGTAAAAACGACATTGATCTTGCCAAAATAACAACACCTGCTCACTTAATTAAACGGCAAAACTTTGGACTGACTTTTTAAGCTGACTATTTTTGGTTACAAAAAAAAAAAAAACGTTAACAAATTATGTGAATAATGTTCCAGTTATTGTTTTTATTATAGCCTTGAATAATAGGTGATGATTTTGTTTATGTACACACTATTGACAGTTCTCGATGGTGGGTGAGTAGTGCTTCTAAATTGTAATAATTTACATAGTTTGTTTATGTATGACATTTAGACTTTTTATTCACTCTTTATAATATGCTTCTAAGCTGTGTAGACTAGTTTACAAGAAACGCTCGCAATTTATCTTGAACATTGGAAAGACATTTGGAGATCTAGTGGTATACAAGGGATCATACCGGTACTTTCAACAAATTTGATTAGACTTGTTAGTGTTACATCTTTAAGCAAGTCCACAATACGTCTGTCTTAAATCTCAATTAGTTTCTACGTTCCGTTTGGTAATGCATCAACGAAATCGTTTGTGGCTTACGGAAAAATGTATAAGTCGTTAATTTTTCTGCGAATGTTAGGACCAGAGCATATTGGATAATCTGAATAGTGGCCTAGATGTTCAGTTTCTTGTGTCTCCCATTTGACAATAATGTTCGATGCCACGTCCATAAACTTTAAGGGCCCTTCAGTCAATCACACTTTACGTACGACAAGTCTAATGAAAAAGTAAAATGAAATTCCATCCGTATGACAAAAAAAAGAGAATAAAAGTCGTTTGATTTATATTTTTCGTGTTTACACGATTGGTATAAAACAATAACAAAGTAAGATGGAAACAGCTGTTTCACTTTTTTTGTATGTGTTTACATAAAAATACATCCCTGATCTAATGCGACTTGCTTGTTTTTTGAATCATTTCAAAAAATGAAGAGAGCCATACGACTGTCAAATTTTCCATCCATCGTATTTGCTCTCAATGTGTGATGGTTTCATTACATATTGCGTTTAGACGATCCCATCCGTTCTCTTCTACACAAAATTTTGACAGATCATATTATCTGTGTGCTCGTGTGAAGGGGGCTTTAGCGAGACAATTTCGTCTATTTGAGGATAAATATCTTCTTAGTCGTGTCTTTAAGTGAATACAACTGAACATCCATTTCGATCTTATCACATTGAAATAGAGAGACTTGGTTTCAATATATCAAGTCGACGTAGAAATTAAAATTCGAAGTTCCGAAATTCAATTCTTTGGTTTTACCCCCAGCTATGTATATCGATGGCCAAAATTTATGATTGAAAACGGTGCAGATATTAGGAAATATAAGGCAGACCAAGATCATTAAAGAAAATGTTTCAACGTCAATTATTGAAGCGTCAATATAGACTTAGATTGTGTCGCATCCCACAGAAGTCTTTTATATTGTTGGCTTCTTCTTCTAACGACAACTATTATTTTTCTAATCATAACACTACTGGAATTAATAACCCTGATCATTAGCATATACATACTGAAGGTTAAAGTGCAACATTCCCTCCCGAATATGACAGCTGATAAATATTTGACATAAATCATGGGAAACTAGTGTAATAATCGCAAACTCCTAGTGATTGTTGTTATATTATCTAATAATTTCAGTATCAGATTATGGTTTAGAGTAATCCTTACATAGTTTAGAAGAGTCCAATTAAAACCAGGTTGATGAAAATAATAGCAAGGATTTTCAAAATAGCACAACTTTGAGAACACAATCAATATTCATAAAGAATTTTTAAAGGAATCTTAAATATTTTGAAATAAAATTTATCAAATCTATATAAAATTTAAAATAAGTTTACTTTAGATTCGGAATACATGTTATAATAAATTTTATTTTTTATATTCTTTTGTTGTTATTTATTAAAATAACATTTTTTTCTTTCAAGTTGTTTTCAGTTTATTTTCAATTTAAGCGTAACTAATGTCAAAATTGAATTTCGCACATAAGTTTAAAAATAACATCTATCATAAATGGCATGAGTAATACCTTTTCCAACGTCCAATTTTCAGCTTTCCAACAACTAATCCCGCTGTATTTATAAACAAAAAACATCTGTACAGATTTCTTCGGTACTACACCCACATTCTAATATTGAATTTGAATTCTTAAGATCATCGTACTGAAAGCCGTTTAAGTTTTTTAGACATTTCGAATGTTTTTCCTAAATTTGTCTCATGTTGTATTATTTTTCAACGGTGAACTGCTGTTGTTTATAAAAATTTATGATTTTGATTAAATGCCAAAAAAAAATAATTTAGATCTGTAAGTGTAGCATTATTTTGTTTACATGAGAAGAAAAACAAAACAGACAAAACCCATTTTTACAAATTATTAGATATACATACATTGATACATACATATTTAGTATAGAATAAACAATTTTAATCCATAAGAAAGAAAACTGACAAAAAAACCAAAATGTAGTGTAAGACATCAGCGGTTGATCTTACTAATCTATTCGCTAATCTCCTTAATTTTTCTAATTTTCTAAATTAATTCCTTTTATTAACTTTCTAAACCAGGTATCTCGCTTAGTTATTCTTCACGAAGAAGCCGAAGATGGCAACGCCATGCCTGATCTCAGCCGTCCGGTACAAGTTGTCTCCGCTGCTGTTACCAATCTTGTTAAGGTTGGACGGGAAACCATTAACAGCTCGGATGATAAGATACTCCGCCAAGATATGCCATCAGCATTGCAACGCGTTGAGACTGCCTCGCAGTTGCTTGAAGAAGCTTCAGATATGTTGCGTGCCGATCCATATTCAGGAACTGCTCGCAAAAAGCTAATTGAAGGAAGCCGCGGTATACTGCAAGGCACCTCTTCGCTTTTGCTCTGCTTTGACGAATCGGAAGTTCGCAAAATCATACAAGAATGCAAAAGAGTATTGGACTATCTGGCGGTGGCGGAAGTTATCAATACCATGGAAGATTTAGTACAATTCCTAAAAGATTTGTCTCCCTGTTTGAGTAAAGTTTCTCGCGAGGTGGGAGCACGTGAAAAGGAATTAACCCATCAGGTGCATAGCGAAATATTGGTGCGCTGTTTAGAACAGGTTAAGATATTGGCACCCATTCTTATCTGCAGTATGAAAGTGTACATTCATATAGTGGAGCAACAGGGTAAGGGCGTAGAAGAGGCCGCCGAGAATCGCAACTACTTGGCTTCGCGCATGAGTGATGAAATTCAAGAAATTATACGTGTTCTTCAGCTGACCACTTACGATGAAGATACTAGTGAATTGGATAATTTGACGGTATTGAAAAAGCTTAATAATGCTGTTAATACCAAAGCCGAACTGGCCAATGATTGGCTTAACAATCCTTATGCTTTGCGCGGTGGCGTGGGTGAGAAAGCTTTGCGCCAAATTATCGAAAATGCCAATGAGATATCAGAGCGTTGCTTGCCTCAAGATTCTTATCCCATACGCCGTTTAGCCGATGAAATTACCGCCATGGCCAATAGCTTATGTGAATTGCGCCAGGAAGGTAAGGGCACATCACCCCAAGCCGAATCTTTAGCACGCAGTATACGCGAGAAATTGGGTGATTTGCAGTCGCAAATACAAAATGCCGTTGTGGGTGTAGACAAGGCTGGAGTACAACAAACTGCCCACACTATCCAGGGTCGTTTGGAGCAGGCCGTTAAATGGTTGCAGAATCCTGAAGTAAATGATGGTGGTTTAGGTGAACGTGCGGTCAATTTAATTGTCGAAGAAGGACGTAAGGTAGCTGAAGGTTGTCCTGGTCATCAAAAGGCCGAAATTATGCAATTGTGCGACGAAGTAGAGCGTTTAAAGCGTCAGGCTGCGGGAAACACTCCAGTAGCCAAAGAAGCTGCCAAGAAATTGACCCAAAAACTGCATGAACTCAAAGCTGCGGTACAAAATGCTTTAGTTAATCGCATTGTACAAGATTTTATGGATGTTAGTACGCCCTTGAAACAGTTCACTGATGCTGTAATGTTGCCCGAAGGTACCCCTGGACGGGAACAGAATTTCAACCAGAAATCTAATAATTTGCAGGCATTTAGTGATCGTGCCTCTAAAACTTCACGTATGGTGGCTGCTGGCGGTGCTTGTGGCAATAAGAAAATTGCCGAAGTCTTACTCTCTTCAGCATCGCAGGTGGACTCAATGACACCGCAACTTATCAATGCGGGACGCATACGCATGAACTACCCGACCAGCAAAGCTGCCGATGAGCATTTGCAAAATTTGAAACAACAATATGCCGATACAGTTTTGCGCATGCGTACTTTGTGCGACCAAGCCACCGATCCTGCCGATTTTATTAAAACCTCCGAAGAACACATGCAAATGTATGCCAAACTTTGTGAAGATGCCATTCATGCCAAACAACCTCAAAAAATGGTTGACAATACTTCAAATATTGCGCGTTTAATCAATCGTGTTTTGTTGGTGGCCAAACAGGAAGCTGATAACTCGGAAGATCCAATATTTACGGCCAAACTTAATGCTGCCACAAATCGTTTGGAAAGTTCATTGCCTGCCATGGTGGGAGATGCTAAGCGGGTTGCCACCAATATCAATGATCCAGCGGCAGCTCAAGCCTGGAAAAATTCATTCCAAAGAGTAAGTAGTAATCTAGAGAGGTGTATTATTGGATTATTATTTAATTGTTACTATTTTCATAGCTTTTGGGAGATGTGCGTGATGTAAGAACTGCTATGGCTCCACCAGCACCACCATTGCCCGATATGCCTCCACCACCAATTCCAGAATTCAGTGCCATGCACTTGTCCAATCAAAATGGTGAGATGATTTTCGGAAATTCTTTAAATATTTAAATTTAACTTTGACTTTTTGTTTTAGTTGAACGTGCTCCCCCTAGGCCCCCTCTACCCCGTGAAGGTTTGGCTCCCCAAAGACCACCTCCACCAGAAACAGATGACGAAGATGAGGGAGTATTCCGTACTATGCCTCATGCTAATCAACCTATTTTGGTAAGTTTGTTACGATTGTTAAAAAATAGTCTAGAAATAACTTTTGTTCTTGATTAGATTGCTGCCCGTGGCCTACATCAAGAAGTGCGTCAATGGTCTTCCAAAGATAACGAAATCATTGCTGCCGCTAAACGTATGGCTATTTTAATGGCCCGCCTCTCTGATTTGGTGCAATCCGATTCTCGTGGTAGCAAACGTGAATTGATTGCCACCGCCAAGAAAATTGCCGAAGCCTCCGAAGATGTTACACGTTTGGCCAAGGAATTAGCTCGTCAATGTACCGATCGTCGTATTCGTACCAATCTGTTGCAAGTTTGCGAACGTATACCAACGATTGGTACACAATTGAAAATTCTATCCACCGTTAAAGCCACCATGTTGGGTGCTCAAGGTTCCGATGAAGATCGTGAAGCCACCGAAATGTTGGTAGGCAATGCCCAAAATCTTATGCAAAGTGTAAGTACTTTTAACAATAATAAAAGTACTCTAGTTTTTAACATTTTTTCCTATTATTTTAGGTTAAAGAAACTGTGCGTGCTGCTGAAGGTGCTAGCATTAAGATCCGATCAGATCATACCAATCGTTTGCAATGGGTTCGTCGTCAACCTTGGTATCAATACTAAAAGAATTAACAGAACAAATGGTTGCTACATCTACATCTATATATTATGTTAATTTTATATTTTTTACTTAAACAAAAACTCCTAACTTTAGTGCCTTTAATATTAACAATGATTGTGAATTAATTAATGATATTTATTATTACTCTTAATTACTTTATTTGTGCTCATTATCAAAATATTTATTCAATATTTTTGATGTAATTGTTTTCCTTTTATTAAGTTTTTAATTATCTACAACGAATTTGCTGCTCCTTTCCCTTTTATACTTAAAAAATCGTAACGTTTGTTTAATGACTGTTTACTCGATGTCAAAAGAAAACTTTTTCTTTCCACCCTTGATGAACTATCCTTAAATCCCGAAAGTTTGTGTGCAATATAATAAAGTTATTTTTAACTACAGTTTACACAAAAATTAAAAATGTTCAGCATTTAATAAATATTTCCAATATTTACCAAGCTCTATAGTAAAACAAAATGGTTGCCAAAATTATTTCAAAATTTATATTATTTTATATTTTTTGTTCGATTTTAAACATATAATTGCAATTTTTTTAAATGTATTACTAATCATAAAAATAAATTATTTTGTTTAAAACTTTTTAAGTGAATTATTTGTAAGGTATTGAAAAATAAAAATTCTTTAAAAAAATTAAAAAACTTTTTGTTCTTCAATCTTTAGCCTTAGATTAGACTTGGCAATTTTACTTGCGCAAGTAAAATGTTTATATGTTTTGTTGTTAAGAACATGAATCGACTTTTCTCCTTCAGAAATTATTAAAATTTAATTTGTAGATTCCCACAACAAGCAGATTGTTTTAAATGTGCTACGTTTTTCTTTGCGTACAAAATGTTTCTTACTAGGCTTTGCAACTAAGAGCGGGGTTTTGAGATGGCAATCAAATGCCAAGTAATAATCAGATTAGTTAATCTTAAAATAAATTTAATCTTATGTTAATCCCCTTTGATGTTTTTGAGTACAAGATTAAACTTCGCAGTGTTGCCATACAAAACAACAGAAAACGTCACGGTTTGTTATCAAAACAATGCATATTTTATAAAAAAGAGGAAGAAAATTGTAAATTTAATATGAAAATTAATGAAAACTTAAATTAAAAACAAAAAAATGTATTTTGAAGTGTCCATAATTTATACTAATCAATAAATAGAACATTTTAATGCTTATATTTATAAAAATGGTATTAATTTTTTTTTTTGCATCAGCTGTTTACACTTTTGCATTTCGTGCTTAAGTTTAAACCACCTCCGTTGGGCGCTTAAACTTGCAAACAAAATTAACTAATTGAGTAATCAAAAACATCTTTCAAGGATTAATTTTAATTTAATCGCTAATCTTTCACCTAAAAATTGGCCCTAAGTGGTCATCTCCTCCACAAAAGCTTTGAAGAAATATTCAGGATTTTCCCTCGAAATATTCTTCGATAAAAATAATCTTTCTTATGCTGCCTAAAATTCAACACGAAATCTTTATTTGATCGGATTGCATATAAAGTGAAAGGCATTATTATTTTGTAGTATTCCAAGTTGAAATGGAAGTAGATTTTCCATAATGTGGCTTGGAAACAAATTTTGTTCCTACTGTATGAGAAAGACACGGTTCACACAAAGTAACTTTTCTTGTGCCACTTTTTGATATTGCAGGAGGGAGAATAAAAAAGAATGATGTTTCTATATTCTTCTCTCTTCCAAATGGAATCAAAAATATAAAAGTTGCTGTGTAAGAACGCATAGCTAACTGCGGCAACTACTGTAAACTCTATTTTTGTACCTACAGCCCAGAAATTATTTGGAACACTATGATTTCAGTCATTTTATAATTGAAGTTGTAAAAAACGGGTTGTGTCCAATTAAAACGGATTCCTCTCATCATAGTGACTTGAATCATTCATTTTGGTTCAACAACTAGAAAAGTTTTTTGTCTTTCCTACACTTCATTTTATCTAGTACATTATTTTCCTCAGGAGCCAATTCACTAGATTCCAAATGAGATTATGGTTGCATTTGTATTCTGGGTTTTACGCATAGTTTTAAAGACCATCTATGTAGTTAAGACATGCCAAAATTTACATGATCGGGTTTCATCTCACTTATCAAAATTACAACAGATTTTTTCAGCCTTGACATCTCCGTTAATCATTGTGCAGAGCTTTTCAAATAAAATATCTGTATTTTCGAAACCAGTTTTTTGTTAATTCAGATTTATGGTTTGTATGTACAATTTTCTATCTGACGAAATAACTATCTATCTATCTATCTATCTATCTATCTATCTATCTATCTATCTATCTATCTATCTATCTATCTATCTATCTATCTATCTATCTATCTATCTATCTATCTATCTATCTATCTATCTATCTATCTATCTATCTATCTATCTATCTATCTATCTATCTATCTATCTATCTATCTATCTATCTATCTATCTATCTATCTATCTATCTATCTATCTATCCATCTATCTATCTATCTATCTATCTATCTATCTATCTATCTATCTATCTATCTATCTATCTATCTATCTATCTATCTATCTATCTATCTATCCATCTATCTATATATATATCTATCGAACTAACTAACTAATTAGCTAACTAAATATCTAACTAACTAACCCGGACTTCCATCTATTCTCTCAGTTTATTTATTACCATTTTTATCGAAAATTATTATTTTTAATAGAAAATTTCAATTAATCACTCCACGGTTCATCAGAGATTAAAGATAAACTTCTGCGGATAGATGCATCAACTTTTGCTGAACGTTTGCAAAAACTTTCTAGTGGGTTTCTCGTCTTCATACCCCGCACAGCTCTGCACTGTGGAGGATATTAAAATCAGTGCATAGAAATATTGGTCACACACCCTAGAAGAGTTTTATTTTTAGTTATGTACGTCTATTGGTCCATTAAGAAATGCGTCATTATGGTCCATATTATTGCATACTTTTTTTTTAATTACCTACAGCATTCATGATAAATAGAAACATTATTTTTTGAATATTTCGCACTAAATACTAATATTATTCTATAGTTTCCGTATTGATAACATTCTCCTCCGGTAGTCGACTCTTTTTAATACTGAAAACAATCAAAACTGTTTTGTAACTATTAAAACAAACATAAAAGTTTTAGTCCTTACTTTTGTTCCAATAATATCCAAATCTTTCTTCTGAAAACAGACGATAAAAAGATCATTGTTCCTTGAACGGCCTCAGCAATTGAAAATTTCAAGATTTTTAAGGACCAAGGAATAACCAGTATTATGAATAAACGCAAGAAAATAATGGCACTATAAAAATAAAGATATAAAACAGTGAAATCTAAACATAACATAATCTAAACTTCAATACAGAGGTTTAATACTTGCTTCTTTTTGAAAATCAGTTTATTATGTGTCCCACTGTCTCTCCTCTTTGTTATAACTACCATTATGTGGAACAACTTTATACAATTGAAAAATAAAATTAAAATAGATGGAATGATAATTTGAAGTGAAGACCATCTTTGATCTGTAATAGCAAAAGGGAATTGATTAGAAATTCTTTATTAAAAGCATATCTTAAAAATGTAATTATGTACCAAGTTACGGGATCAAAAGACAATCTAAAAAATACTTACTATTCCACCATAATACTTCTTCAAACATTTCTTCACTTTCCAAAGGATAACTTTTAGACAATTTTTTAAAAATTATCAAACTAGATGCCAGAAAAACATTCAAGCCGACGCACAAGCAGTATATAGTAAACAGCTTAGACATCATTTTAGATTTGCAATTTCTCCAAATATCATAAGAGAATATACTTAGCCATGAAATGGCAATTATATGAAGAACTAAACCTGTAAAACCTTAATAGAAAAACAATCGTATTTATAAAAAAAGTTTTAGAAAATATAAAAAGATCTCACCCATTATAATAATCCATATACCATTCCATAGAAAATACATTGAATTAAGAAGAGCAAATATGACATTACTCATGGTTATCGCGAAAAGATAATAGAAATATAGTTTACCACTCAGATTTTCTCTTAATTCTTTTAAAAAATGATATAACAATGTGGTGGGAATTAAAAATAAAATAGATATAAAGCCTGAAATTAAATTAGATTCACAAAATTTGATGTCATTTTATTTTACTGGAAATATATTTTAAAATTATTTTGCAAATATGAACTTGACCTTACGTGACATTTGTAAAGGAATATAACTTTACCTTTTACCTCGATAATTTTCAAATTTTTTGATGTAGTTAGAAATTTCATCAGTGTGAACGTACCTTTGCTGAATTTATTCTTTTCGAGGTTATCAGCGTTTAAGAGGCAAGTAAATGGTTTTAATGTATAAATGGAATTATCCGATGAATGCGGCGAATAACAAAATTCAGAACTTTCGTATCGTTTATAAGGCGTTTGCAACAATCCTGTCTGGAAAAGGTTAAAAATTAAATCATTTTCTTGGAGTCCAGGTTTTATATCTAAATCATAAACTCAATAAAATTCACTCATACAAGTAGAGTATTTCAATCTTAACTATTGTGATTCATTTTAAATTACACTCTTGCAAAATTTCCTTCATTTTCGATTTATTTTTATCCTTAACTTACTTGAGACAATGTCGTGGTATCTGCAATAAGATTTAGTGTCATTGATTCCAAACAGGGTAAACCAATTTCAATAATAAATTCATTCAGAATATCCGACACTTTAAATTTGCCAACAAGTCCTTCTATTCGTAATTGCCAAATCATTAAAATATCATTCCTAAGTTTTTCACACTTTTTTGTAATTTCATCGAAATATTCATCCTTTTCACAACACAATCTAATACAAGGATATTTATCACAAATGCAACCTCTCACATGCAACGGCACCGATTTTTTCGTTCCCCATAATACAGCATAATCATAGAGAGCTAAAATCTCAGGTGGTATTATTTTTCCCTGATACAAAAAAGAACCATTTTGATATTTATGATGATTTGTTAAATTCACCGTATTCTCATAAGCACATTTGGGTTCTTTGTCAATGTTTAATGTTGATACTAAAGAAATTCGGTAATACAGATGCCATGTCAAGAGTAAGAAATATATTTCAAAATCCATTAAAAATTGATGTTTTAATAAATTTATTTGTTAATTGCTATATAGCGATACGTTATTAATTAATAGAATAATTTCTTGTGACTATTTTCACAATGGCTAGTTCCATTTGAATTTACCAAGCTGCAGTTACTTACAGTTATCGCGAAAAGTAATCATACATAAAATGTTTTACATATTTTTTTTTATAAAAATACTTCTAAAATGTTTAATTAAATATTATATTTCATTTTAAATTATTTGAACAATAAGTGGTTGTTTTTATTTGTGAGTTACTGTATGTTTTAATTTTAAATAGTTCTATAAAGTTACAAAAATAGTTGCAGAATATACGTGTATGTAAGTAAATCAATAAAATATAAATAATATACAGTGGGCACAATAGCAGAATAGTTTTTGAAAAGCTTTAGACTCATGAGTCATGACAGAACTAGAGAGGTAACTGTCTCACTAAAACAATACAAAAACATGTATTTTGTTTCGTATTAGGATTAGCTTAATGTCAAAAATTTCATACTAAATGTAAACAAATAACATGTAAACAATAAAATGTAACAAATACATACTAAATGTAAACAAATAACTTCATAACAATAACAACTTTTGACAGCAAGCACAAAATACAAAAAAATAACCAGCAGCTTTATCGCAGTCACCTTTTTTATTATGCCATGAACTATACTTTGACAGTATCTTCCAAATCGAAATAATAACTAAATATGACGAAAACGTCTCGCATAAAAAATATTTACGCTTTAAAATTAAACGTTTACCAATAAAAGTTCGTTGTGATTTACCTCCGTACAAGTCAACGAAAATCTTTGATCCCAAGATAGCAGCCGCATAACGAAATTAGGCCAAACAATGTAACAACAAGAAATCGGAATAAACGATTGAATACTTTGAATAAGATTCGCTACATGAAATGAAAACTCGCTATTCCAAGACTGTCTACCTAACCGCAGAAAGCAATAGATTTAGAATTTTAGTTAAAGGAATCAGCGAGATGACATGAAATCGTAGTGAATACAGCAACTTGCTAAGTGATCGTACTTCGGACGTTACCAGGATTGAATGTAATAACACTGATTTCTAGGAAATAATGGGCAGGCACAATCCTGGAATATTAGTGCAGAGTTATTCTTAGAAGTCTGCTGTCCCAGGGATACAAGTTTCTTAATACTAAGCCAAATAGATAACATATGTATCTGTAGAAAATGGTTCAGAAAATGCGGATATAACCTGCGATCACGTAGTAATAGCTGACTTAAAACTGTCCATAAGGGCTGAGTTGGCGACGAATGTTTATGAACAATCTTGCAAATAATGCCGTGTTCTATCTAAAACGATAATTTGTGGATCAAATGTGTGTAGTATAGTCATAGACATCTATAGTCTTATTGTCTTTGAAAAACTTTTCGTTTCCATAGACGAAAATAGAACATGGATCCTTCTGATGAACCCATAAAGATCGAAAGACTGATAAAACCACCATAAGAACAATTAAGACTTTCCTAAATGGTGTAAACAAGGCTGCATACTATCACTTGAAAAATTTCTCATCAACGCGGCAACCGAACGTAAAATGAGAACCTTAGGTTAGGTTAATGAGACAGTCGGCCAAAGACCACTTAATGGTCCCGTTGTGTTACCCTATAACGCTTCATACCTCGACACACTGTTTGTACATTACATATCCATGTTCAACATGGAATCGAACCAACCAGAGATACGAAGGAATGATGTTTGTATTAATATAAAAAGAGCCGCTAGTTCATGCAATATCGGACTGCTAAAGTTCTAATGTCGGCAGCGAAATCCCAATATGACTGGACTGTTTATAGTAAAAACATTAATTAAACTTGATAATAATTTTATTTGCTTTAAATCGGTGGAGATAAACATGAATATAACACACAAAATACAGATATTATTCTAAAGATTCTGTATCGATAACATTCTCATGCGGTATTCGAACCATTTTAAATCTGCAAAGAACAAATGTTATTACATAATAAATAAAATTTGATTTAGTTCTTACTTCATTTTCAATAAAATCCAAATCTCTTTTCTCAAAACAGACGATAAAAATATTATAGTTCCTTGCATGGCATCGGCAATTGAAGGTAAATAGATTTTAAAGAACCAAGGAATAACTAATATTACAAATAAACGTATGAAAATAATTGCGCTATAAAAATAGAGTTATAAATAAGGATTTTAACTTGTAGGCACTATCTGATAATACTTACTTCTTTTTTAAAAACAGTTTATTATGTGTCCCACTGTCTCGCCTCCTTGTGATAATTATTGTTAATAGAATTAATTTTCCACAATTGAAAAGTAAAATTAAAACAGTTGGAATGATAATTTGAAGTGAAAACCATCTTTGATCTGTAATGTACATATGTATGTAAATTCTCTGAACAATACTACATTATATTTTGCTAGATTCTGGAAATAATCAAACATGTTCATACTCACTATTCCACCACAATATTTTATCAAGAATTCCTCCGCTATTCACAAGATAACTTTCAGACATCTTTCCAAAAATTATAAAGCACGATGCCAGGCAAGCAATCGAACCAACAATTACACAATATATGGAAAACAGTTTAGAGTTCGCTTTACTATTGCGATCTCTCCAAATATAGTAACCGAATACATTCAGCCATAATATCGCAATTGTATGAATAACTAAACCAGTAAAACCTTGTAGAAATAGTTTTGTATTAATAAAAACGAACGAACCTCATTATTCGAGGAAGTAATTCCGGTCATAATAACTCACCAATTATAATAATCCATATACGACTCCATAGAAAATGCGTTAAATTAAGAATAGCAAAAATTATATAACTCATTGTCATCCCATAAAGATAACAAAAATACAGTTTACCACTCAGATTTTTCCTTAAATCTTTAAGGAAATAATACAAAAGTGTGGTGGATATTAAAAATAGTAACGATATAAAACCTGAAATTAAATTTTATTTAATAGATCTTTAATTAAACTTTAATTGAGCGGCTAATCGATTTACCTTGTACTTCGATATTTGTCCAACTTTTCCATGTCGTTAAAAATTTCATCAGTGTAAATGTACCTTTCCTGAATGTGTTATTGTCTGGGAGACAAGTAAATGGTTTTAATATATAAGTGAAATTATTCGTCAAATGTGGTGAGTAACAGAATTCGGAACTTTCAAAACGATTATATGGAGTTTGTAAAAATCCGGTCTGTAAATAGATAGAAAACAATTAATTTACTCGAAAACTAAAATTAATCTAGTCCAGTCTTAGTCTAAACTATAGTCCAGTCTTAGTCTAAACTATAGTTCAGTCTATAGTCTAAACTATAGTTCAGTCTATAGTCTAAACTATAGTTCAGTCTATAGTCTAAACTATAGTTCAGTCTATAGTCGAGGCTTTAGTCTTGACTACAGTCGAGACTTTAGTCCACTTTTTAGTTCAATCTTAACTCCAGACTATAATGCAGTCTATTGTATAGTCGACTGTCGAGACTTTAGTCCAGTCTACAGTCGAGACTAAAATAGTAAAGCTTATAGGCGAGTCTGTAGTCCATTCAAGAGTCCTATCTATAATCCAGACTGTAGTCCAGTTTATAGTCTGTATTCCCTTCTGATTCATGTTAAAAAAATATCTTGCAAAATGTCATTAAGTTTATGTTCGTTCTTACCCACACAACAACTCACTTGAAATAATGTTGTGGTATCTTCAATTTTCTTAAGTGTCATTGATTCCAAACAGGGTAAACCAATTTCAATAATGAATTCATTCATAATATTACTGATTTTAAATTTGCCAGAAAAGTGTTCTATTCGTAATTTCCATAGCATTTCTATATCCTTATTCAATTTTTCACAGTTTTTGGTAATTTCATCGTAGTATTCATCCTTTTCACAGCACAGTCTAATGCAAGGATATCTATCACAAACACAACCTCTCACATGCAACGGAACCGATTTATTTTTTCCCCATAATACAGCATAATCATAGAGAGCTAATATCTCAGGTGGTATTATTTTTCCCTGATACAGAAAAGAATCATTTTGATATTTATGATAATTTGTTAAATTCACAGTGTGCTTAAAATCACATTTCGATTGTTTGACGATGTTAAGTGTGGATATTGGTGAAATTTCGTAATAAAGATGCCATATTAAAAGTATGCAATGTATTCTAAAATTCATTTTAAGAATTGTTTAAGCGACACTATTAATTAATTAAATGATTTGTTTGCAACTGTTAACAGAATGACAAATTCAATTTGTATTTGCCATCTACAGTTTTCTCTAAAGGTAATCATATAGAAAATACATATGTTTATTAAAACACTTCATGCAAAAAAGTTGATATAATGAAACAAAATAAAAATAATTCCGTTGAATAATAAAACTTCGCTTATACTACTTTTTTCACCAACATCTTACATTTTTACTGTGAGTCACGGTATGTTTTAATTTTAAATACGTAACTGTAAAAAGCATAGCTGTTAAGTAACGATTAGTAATCATTTAACATTAGTAATGCAATTATTTTTATTTAATAGTTAATTTCAATGATTAAAAACGATTATTTTCAATTTTTCACGAAAAGTAATTTATTTCTTAAATAATAACCAAATGATGGACCGTTCTGAATGTATAGATAAAAAAAATATATTTATGTAGAATTTTATACCGATATCGTTATTAATTTATGACTAAGTGATGGTCAATTAGCTACCGATCCGGAAAAAAGTTGTATACATAGGTATATACATAACATATTCGTGTAGAATTTTGCCCCGATATGATCAACTAACTAAATAATAGTTAGTTAGTTAGTTAGTTAGTTAGTTAGGTAGGTAGGTAGTTAGTTAGTTAGTTAGTTAGTTAGTTAGTTAGTTAGTTAGTTAGTTAGTTAGTTAGTTAGTTAGTTAGTTAGTTAGTTAGTTAGTTAGTTAGTTAGTTAGTTAGTTAGTAGTTAGTTAGTTAGTTAGTTAGTTAGTTAGTTAGTTAGTTAGTTAGTTAGTTAAGTTAGTTAGTTAGTTAGTTAGTTAGTTAGTTAGTTAGTTAGTTAGTTAGTTAGTTAGTTAGTTAGTTAGTTAGTTAGTTAGTTAGTTAGTTAGTTAGTTAGTTAGTTAGTTAGTTAGTTAGTTAGTTAGTTAGTTAGTTAGTTAGTTAGTTAGTTAGTTAGTAGTTAGTTAGTTAGTTAGTTAGTTAGTTAGTTAGTTAGTTAGTTAGTTAGTTAGTTAGTTAGTTAGTTAGTAGTTAGTTAGTTAGTTAGTTAGTTAGTTAGTTAGTTAGTTAGTTAGTAGTTAGTTAGTTAGTTAGTTAGTTAGTTAGTTAGTTAGTTAGTTAGTTAGTTAGTTAGTTAGTTAGTTAGTTAGTTAGTTAGTTAGTTAGTTAGTTAGTTAGTTAGTTAGTTAGTTAGTTAGTTAGTTAGTTAGTAGTTAGTTAGTTAGTTAGTAGTTAGTTAGTTAGTTAGTTAGTTAGTTAGTTAGTTAGTTAGTAGTTAGTTAGTTAGTTAGTTAGTTAGTTAGTTAGTTAGTTAGTTAGTTAGTTAGTTAGTTAGTTAGTTAGTTAGTTAGTTAGTTAGTTAGTTAGTTAGTAGTTAGTTAGTAGTTAGTTAGTTAGTAGTTAGTTAGTTAGTTAGTTAGTTAGTTAGTTAGTTAGTTAGTTAGTTAGTTAGTTAGTTAGTTAGTTAGTTAGTTAGTTAGTTAGTTAGTTAGTTAGTTAGTTAGTTAGTTAGTTAGTTAGTTAGTTAGTTAGTTAGTTAGTTAGTTAGTTAGTTAGTTAGTTAGGTAGGTAGTTAGTTACTTTGTAAGCTAGCTAGCTAACCAGTTAGTTAGTTAGGGTTCCTCAAACAGAATGATTTGACCTAGGATCAAGTCAGGAAGCCTTATAATCTTGTACCACGGAACCGAAGAATGTTAGTTAAAAGACTGATCGAGACAACGGATACCCCACAGAGGAGTGACTGTGAGAATACTGTTGGAAAATGAATAAGATACGTGGTATACACTCGTATGAACGTGTTCGATTGACACCATAGTATTTCCCTCCAATTGTGTTCCGGCTTGCCATTTTTCCATACCTGACTTAGTTACTTTGTAAGCTAGCTAGCTAACCAGTTAGTTCCCAGCAAACAAATTTTGCAGCAGTGCAAAGTGAATGTAAGTTTCATAACTTCTTTAATAACAGTGCTAATACAACTCATTCTAAATTCCTTCCAAAATTCAACCTGTTCCACAGTTAAAAAATTCCTTTAAAACTTCAAAAATTAATTCAGATTCTTAATTTAATCAAATGAAATTTGTGTGTTATTAGAAATATTTTTGATTATTAATATTATTTTATATAATTTCCCATATTTATTTTAATATTTTCCTTAAAAATATTTAAAATGTCTTCTAAAAATACAGACAAAACAAATAGCTTGAACCAATGAAACATCGTTTTCGAATCATCGAATTTGCATTGGTTCGCTTATTCAATCGATTATTATCCAATGACACGCTAATGTTAAAATCATGCATGTTTCACCTAAATCGAACCACTTCGTCATCACTTGCACCTCTGACTAAACAACATCTTTGTCATGTAACTTTTTGCTGGGATAGTTATAATTCCTCAAAAAAAATGATTTCACCTGGGATCAAGCCAGGAAGCCTTATAATCTTGTACCACGGAACCGAAGAATGTTAGTTAAGAGACTGATCGAGACAACAGATACCCCACAGAGGAGTGACTGTGGGACTACTGTTGGAAAATGAATAAGATACGGGGTATACACTCGTATGAACGTGTTCGATTGACACCATAGTATTTCCTTCTCTATCCAATTGTGTTCCGGCTTGCCATTTTTCCATACCTGACTTAGTTACTTTGTAAGCTAGCTACATAGCTAACCAGTTAGAAGTTTCATAACTTCTTAAATAACAGTGCTAATATAACTCATTCTAAATGCCTAAGTTCTAATATAACTCATTCAACTTGTTCCGCAGTAACAAGTAAGAGAGCTATATTCGGCTATGCCGAATCTTATATACCCTTCACCATAGTGTATTTAAAAAATATAAATTTTATAAAATTTAAATTTATGTACCTATGTACATATTTAATTTTCCCGATTATATCATTATTATAGCAATAGCAAAACAAAATGAACAACAACAACGCTAAACGAAATAAACACTCAAAAAACAAAATACACAAGGCAGTAAAACCAACAGACATCCAAACATACGAAACGAAATACACAAAAAAACAAAAACAAAATACACAACGCAATGAAACCAACAGACATCAAACATACGAAACTGTACACCAACAAACAAAAACAATATACACAAGGCAATGAAACACACAGCCATCCAAACATACAAAACTGAATACACCAAGAAACAAAAACAATATACACATGCCAATGAAACACACAGCTATCCAAACATGTGAAACGAAATACTCAATGAATAAGCAGTGTTGTTGTTGTTGCTTATTAATCAAAACATGAAAAAAGTTGTCTATTTTTATGAAATTTTCAGAGGTTGTCTCGGATTTTTGCTTATATCTCTATCATTTATGGACCGATTTTGCTGATTTTAAATAGCGATCTTCTCGAAAGCATGTCTAACAGAATTATTGAAGATTCGGATCTCGCCGATATCTGGGGTCCTCTAAAAACTGATTTCAACAGACAGACAGACGGACAGACAGACAGACAGACGGACATGGCTTAATCGACTCCGCTATCTATAAGGATCCAGAATATATATACTTTATAGGGTCGGAAAATTATATTATAGAAATTACAAACGGAATGACAAACTTATATGTATATGTATACCCTTCTCACGAAGGTGAAGGGTATACAAATACAGATAAAACAAATAGCTTGAACAAATGAAACATCGTTTTCGAATCATCGAATTTGCATTGGTTCGATTATTCAATCGATTATTATCCAATGACACGCTAATGTTAAAATCATGCATCTTTCACCTAAATCGAACCACTTCGTCATCACTTGCACCTCTGATTAAACAACATCTTTGTCATGTAACTTTTTGCTGGGTTGGTTAGGATTCCTCAAAAGGAATGATTTGACCTTGGATCGAGCCAGGAAGCCTTATAATCTTGTACCACGGAACCGAAGAATGTTAGTTAAAAGACTGATCGCGACAACAGATACCCCACAGAGAAGTGACTGTGGGAATAAATGAGAAAATATTTAATAGATGGGTTAAGGCAAGCTCTGAACTATCGAAAAGAGAAGAAAAGAACTGTATTGACGCTAAGAAATAAGGGAAAAAGTGTACGTTTTATTACCAGAACCTCGGATCGTTCCTTATCTTTTGCAAAAAATGCGCTTAAGAGACAACCATCAGCTGTACACCGTGGAAATCCAAAGAAAACATCTCCAACAACGGATAATCGCATAATTACTATGGCAAAAAAGACCCTTTCATCTCTTCCAGAGCCATTTCTGCAGATATTGGTAACGTAATTTCTTCCCGAACGGCTCGTTGAAGACTATACAATGCCAATTTATCTGGTAGAATAGCCAGAAGAATTCCTTTGCTTCGGCCAAAAAAATTAAAGATAGGGCTAACTTTCGCCAGAATTTACTCAAATTGGTCCGGACCAGAGGGTGAATACAAAATGGGTTAATATCGTATGGACCGACGAAACTAAAATTAATTTCTTCGGAAATGGCTTGGCTAGGAACGTATAATGCCCCAAAGGTAAAGAATTCCATGTTCGTTTTACTAAGAAGACGGTCAAACACGGCGGAGGCAACATAATGGTTTAGGGCTATTTCTCGTGGAACGGTATTGGTCTTATTCATCGGATTCTTTGGACATCCTAGAAAATGTGCCAGGATTGGTTTAAGGGTAATGATGTGGTCTTACTGGACTGGTCAAGTCAGTCACCTGACCTCAACCCAATAGAAAACCTTTGGGGAGAGTAAAAAAGAAGAGTAGCTAATGAATGTTTTCAAAATAAGAATCAATTACGGGCCTTTATCCAGAAAACGTGGTACGAAATACCAGTGGAAACCTGCCGTAAACTGATCTTCTGTATGCCAAAAAGGGTGGTTAAAGTTATTCATGGTTGTTACACACGATACTACCAAACAAAAATTGTAATGAACAAAAAAATTTTAAAATATTGAATTAGTTTTACTTTTCTGGTACCTTTGCTGAATGTACTTATTTTTTTGTCCACCATTTTAAAACATTTTTAAGAAGACTAAAAG